CCTTATTATTATTATTATTATTTACTATAGAGCATATTTTCTCACTAGAGAGAGATGGAGAGAGAGAGAGTGAGAAAACATACCACCAAGTTTGGTTGATCGTGTGAGAGTCCAACACCTTAGTCTCCATGCCTCCTCCTGAGCCCAATAAACTTCTTTCTCCACACTTCCATTTTTTTCTTTTCTTCTCCCAGGATTCCTGTAATATGAGTTATAACTCTTTATGGTGTTCTATAATTCACTCCTTTTCATTCTTTTCTCTTTTTTTAACTCTGACTCAGTGTTTTCAGATAATCCCCATTTGAGATCACAGATTCTTTTTTCTGATTGATCAAGTCTATAGATGATGTTCTATATTGCATTTTTCATTCATTCATTGTATTCTTTGGTTCCAGATTTTTTTAAGTTTGCTATTTTTCCTAGTATATTACTTTTTGAACTGTTTATTTAATTTTATTTGTTATTATTTATTTTTTAATTTGATGACAGAGAGAGATGTATATATGTATGCTCTCTAGGGAGGGGCATGGTGTGGCGATGACAAATCATCCCTGAGGGGGATGGCCATGCCGCAACCCTTTTCCTCCATTCTCTTCTTGGAATTTTTAGCATGCATACACACAAATACACACACACACACACAATGTGTTTTTCAAGATGCCTGGTCCGGGACGCAAACACTTGGTTGGCCATGTAGGATCCAGCTGTGTTAACCTTCTTGCCATCTGATTGCCCTGGTTCCAGATTTTTAAAAGTGATTTCTGTCTTTTTATTTACCTTCTCATTTTATTCATCTATTGCTTTTATGATTTTATTGAGTTATCTGTGTTCTCTTGTATTTCTTTCAACTTTCTTAACACAATTATTTTTGAGTTCTTTGTCAGGTCATTTGTATTGGGTTGTTGGAAAAGTCATGATACATTTTGCAACAACAACAAAAAAATAGAAAAAATACATGACTTTTCTGACAACCTAATAGATCTCCATTTTTTGTTGTTGGTTACTGGAATATTGGTGTATTCTGTGAGTAGTGTCATGTTTTGTTTATTTTTCTTGTTCATTGAAGTCTTGTGTCTGTGTCTTCAAATTTGATGAAGGGGTTACCTTCTCAGTCTTTACTAACCAGCTTCCAGAGAGAAATATTGTCACCAGACAATGCAACTAAGGATTCTGAGGCTCCCTTAGCCCTTTTCCATGGATGTGCCTACTCCACACCTCTTGTTTTCTCTTGAGGAGGAATTTTTAAGAATGCCCTCTCTGGATCCTGTAAAACTGAAGCAGGTGCTGAGAACCTCCCATTTGTTTTCTCTAAGGTGATGTCTAAAATGCTGAGGTTGTGTGCCTTCTCTCAACCCTGCAACGTCAAGCAGGCTGCTTACATGGGAAGTTTTCACTTGCTTTTCATGGAAACATGCTCGGGCTGGCAGCTGAGAGGACTGTGAGGAGTGGGGACTCATGGAGAGTTATGAGGGTACCCTTGAGCCAGTTGTGGGGTGGGCATCCATAGGTACATACCAAGTGGCCCATGGATGCGCTTCCCAGTGGAATCTCAGGAACAGTAAGATGTGTCTTCACCTTGTCTCCTGTGCATCTAGCCTCTCCAAACAACATAGCCATGCTGATCGCCTCAGTATTCTATGTGGGGCAAGAAAGAGGTAGACTTCATGATCAGTGCCCCACACAGCTAGGGAAGCTGGGTGCTCACACTCTCTGCTTACTTTCTGTTGTGGGAGAAATTGTGGGCTGAAGGGGTCTCTCTTTTTCACTGAGCTGTGCTCCCTTGAAGGAGGTAAAATACAGGTAAGGTGGAAGTGTTTCTTAAACTTCTTCAATGTTTTCTCGGATTTTATCCTCCAATGGTGTATTGAAACTTCTCTGCTGGACTCCTAGACTGCCACAAAGGTATCTGTGAATAGTTACCAACATTGATGCTTCTGAAGATGGATGATGGTAGAAAACATCTCTTCTGCCAGCTTGTTGATGTCACTCTAGTGTTCCTCTGCTGAAAGCTCATTGTAAGAAGAGAAGCTGATTACATTTCAGCAGTAAACAAGAAATTTATTTCTGTTTTAATTACATAGTGTAGTAGGCTAAAGAATACAGACACAGAATTTATATATATATATCCTGCCTATCATCCTCTTATAGAAATACACACACACACACACACACACACACACACACACACACACAGTTTGATTGTCAGTTAAGGAATAAATTATTTTATTTATTACTTATTATTTCTGTGCTTAGTACAGCAAAATGTATCATTAACCTAAACCTAAAAATAAGATTATAAGTTATATAGAAGCTCTATAGCCTGTAAACACTGAAAATGAAAGAAAACTGGACTCAGGTCAGAAGTTGCAAACAGGCCATTCAGGGACCAGTTTTTACCCGAATACATATTGTATTCTCCACTACCCTGAATGAATTGCCAATATTAAAAAAATCAGAAGCGTTTACATTTTAAAATGAAGTTTTTCATCTTCTTTTGTAAAAAAGATGGTTTCTGACAATATTGGGCTGTCATCTCGGGTAACAGCATTTGGCTAGGTATATCCTTTAGTGGAATGTACTCTTCCCAATTTATCATTTACTGTACCTCTCAGTTGCTTCCCTCTTTTGATTGCCTTCGCCCTGCAGAGACCTGGTTTCTCCGAACTTCATTGAGACCTAGACATGTCATTTCATCTATTTGTAGAACGCATTTTCTTTATTAGAAGTAGTCTTTATTTCAAAGAGAAATTTATCAGCATAATTAGAAAAAATCCAAAATGTTTTAAACTCATGAAAGAAAGGTTTAGTAGAAAGTATTTTTAAGTCATAACTTCAATCAGTAGTTACATATTTGTGAAGAGTAGCTTATTTTGGGGCTGGCCAGTAGCATGGTGGTTAAGGGTGCTGGACTCTCACATGGCTGACCACAGTTTGAGTCCTGGACCTGGCGGCTTGCTTTCTCACTCTCTCTCTCTTGCTCTGTCCCTCTCTGGTCAAATTAAAATAAATAGGTAAAGTTAAATGAAATAATTCTTAAAAAAAAAAGAGTAGCTTATATATGTGTTTTCTTGAGTACAATCAACATATTTATTGCTGTTTTGGTAAGAAACTATAAAATTATAATATGTACTCTTTTATCATTGCTATTATTTATATTTATTTGTCACTGTAATCTTCATAAATACAATTTCAATGGAAAAATTAAAATACTTATTATATATATTTATTCACACAATGTAATTAGATATTTTTGATTATTCAAGGTTAACACTACATTTTATATTTTATCTTTGACTTACTAGTCACCTAAGACCTATTCAAATTTAATGCTATAATTAATTTTATCTTTGATTTGCTAAACTGATAAGAATTTACCTCCATGTTTTATTTTATGAAATATGATATGCTTAAGATAGGTACAGATTTTGTTTTATTTTGCAAGTACCATATTCCCTCTTACTTTTTTTTTCTAAGAGAGATTCTTGCTATAGGGCACATGTGCTTGACAGAGAGACACAGACAAAAAGTGAAAAATCACTCCCCCGGAGGGGATGACCACACCACAATTCCTTCTCCTCCATTATCCTCTTGGGATTTTGGGCACACACACACACACACACACACACACACACACACGCACACATACATGCCCGGTGTGAGTTTTAATCCACTAAGTCTGGAACTCGAACCATAGTCGACTATGTGAAAGTCCAGTGACATAACCATTATGCCATCTACTGGACCCCATATTCCTTCTTGATGTAGCAGAGCTTTTGTATCAGCTTCAATAACATATTTAGCAAAAAGTCCTACTTTTTATATTAGGTTATTATTTCAAGTCTTCTTAAACTTTATTTCCTTATTTAATTTTTTTTTTTTTTTAAGTACAGAGTAGGTACACTCACAAGAGAGAGAATGCCCCCGATGGGCATGGAGTAGCTGCAATCCTTTTTTCCTCCATTTCTCCATCCTGTCAGGATTTTGAGCACACATGTGTATGAACCTAGCATATTCTTCCAGCTGCTGGGGTGGTGTGGTCAGTCAACCATGTGGGACCTGGCTCACTATACAAAGCACTTAACTGTTGTGTTATAGGGCCAGCCCTTTTTCTTTCTTTCTTTTTTTTTTCTTTTTTTAAAGTTCTTTTATTCATGAAAGAAAAAAAAAGTGAATGTGTATGCATGAGAGAGAGAGAAAAAGAGAGAGATAAACACCCTTAATGGGGTCTCGTCATTCTGTGATCCCCTTTCCCCAACCCTCTAGCTTGTCAGGATCCTGGGCACGGCATACATATGGCTGGCATGTTTTCAGACCAGCCCAGGGATCTGAACCTATAGTCAGCCATGTGGCTTCCAACACTGCAATTCATGTTACTATTGACTATGCCACCATGCAGCGCTTATAATATTTTTTCTTTCTTCCATTATGTATTTAACATTTTTACCTCCATGGTGATTCCTTTTGACCTAAAAAATATTGTAAATATAAAATGGAAATACCTGAACATTTTAAACCTTAAAACTGCTCACTAGGGCCTCCTTTAAGTCACACAATCAATGAAAATAAACATGAAATTTTAGAAAAGGAAAAAGAAACCTATATCTAGGTTTATAGATGGGATGATTTCTATATGTATTACATATATGTTATAGATAATCTTTTTTTTTTTGAGAGAGAGATTTTTGCCATAGGGCGCGTGCACTCGCCAGACAGACAGAGAGAGACAGAGAGACAGAAAGAGAGAAATCGCACTCCAGGGGGGATGGCCACACTGCAATCCCTTCTCCTCCATTCTCCTCTCGGGATCTTGGGCACACACGCACACGCGCCCGGCGTGAGTTTTAAGCTACCGGGTCCGGGATGCGAACCACGGTCGACTGCGTGGGAGTTCAGTGACATAGCCATTATGCTAAGTGCTGGTCCCTGTTATGGATAATCTTAAAGCACTGTTCATTAAGAGAACCATTTCATTTTTTTTCTCTTCTACTATGTTCTCCCAGGTGGGGTAAAACCGTGTGCATTAAACTGCTTGGCTGAAGGTTACAATTTCTACACTGAACGTGCCCCTGCAGTGATTGATGGGACCCAGTGCAATGCGGATTCTCTGGATATCTGTATCAATGGCGAATGCAAGGTTGCTCCGATTTTACTCTCTTTGGTTGACATTTTTGAGACTTTTGCTTTTTCTCAAATAGTAGCTCCTAATTAATACTATGTTTAAGATTTAAGAATGAGAAACACATTTTAGATACTCAATTTCCAATAAATAACAAAGTGTATGTATTTAAAGGTGGAATGACTCATTCATATTCAAGAACCTTACACATGTGATGTTTTAGTTATGTTTATAGTGATTGTCAGAGGTATGAAAATATTTTGGGTTTTAATTTCCATTATTTTCCTATTCTTTTTACAAACAAGATAACAGAAAAAAGGAAAGGAAGGAGGACCCAGTTCTTAATCATGTGGCTACCGTATATTGTTCTCATTGGGAGATTATTGATGTATTTCATAGCATGTTTCCTCAAAGTGTGAAAATGCTCCTATGCTCCTTCTATCTTATCTGCTTTTGAAGCACTTACAATGGTTTTCATGATACATTTAGTCTTTAACTTATTAAAGCATTTACTTAAGGGAATTAGAGTAATTGGGTATTATAAGAACAAATTCATACTGGTTTCCTAGATGAATCCTGTAATAAGAAAAGCCACCAAAAAAAAGTTATCGTAACATTTTTACTTGTTTGGTTTTGTTTTACTTTAAAGAGAAGCATAAAACTAAGTGTTACCAACTAAAAAAATAAGAAATAAAAGAGCTATCTATTTTACTTAATCTCAAATTGTTTGAAGTATTTTCTATCTTTCTGCCTAATTCCCTTCAAATGTATCTGATGGCCCAGTTTATACATGTGTATTTGTGTGTGTTTGTATATTGGGAGGTATGTTACTTTATTTTCTTGGGAAAAATTTTTTTGGGGGGGCCAGTATTCAAGCTTTCTCAGTTAACACAGACCCAGTTCCAAGTTTTATTTAGAGATTATGTGCCTGGTATCAATGGTTAAAGATCAAATGTACAAATTGGAGTGTCCAAATAAGTACTAAATTACATATTTAAAACCTACATTTGCATGATTAAATGCAAATTTAAAAGTGGAATTTCAGCTTCTTAAGTTGCATTTTTACATTTCCTTTCTGTTGGCAATTTTCAGTTAGAAGCAGGTATTCACTTTTAAAGATTTATGCACAGGCATACTCCACAACAATCTTTGGCACTAATAACTGGTATCCAAAAAGAGCCAGCCGTTTAGAAAGGGCTAACCATGCTGCTCAGTTAAAACTCTTCCTAGAATAACCCCATATAGGACCATATGCCATTTTTCTTAATTCTTGAATTTCTTAATTGAAGGGAGAAGGAAGAGTCTACTTATTGCTAGCAAACTTCAACATTTTCAGACTTAAGGCATGGTATCGTTGAATGATGAAGAGGAAATCTAGATTAGAAACACAAACATACATTCCTGGGGAATCAGAATTTTTTTCTTTGAATTTATGTGTTAAGAGCTGTTAACTTTCTGGAGAGTGAAGGTAAAATAGAAAGAAGAAAAGTATTTTCTATTTTGACTTCCTTTACTGGAAAAACAAGTAACTGAATAGCTTATATACATTTGATTAGTTATGATTCTAAGAGTTTCTTTTTTTGACACACTGAATATTCTCTGTTTTCAGCATGTAGGTTGTGATAATATTTTGGGATCTGATGCTAGGGAAGATAGATGTCGAGTCTGTGGAGGGGATGGAAGCACATGTGATGCCATTGAAGGGTTCTTCAATGATTCGTTGCCCAGAGGAGGTGAGTGTGTAGAGAGAACTCTTCCTCACACCTCTGGTATACTTGGAATAGCCAAAAGCACTTAATTGCCTCTCCTCCCTTACTGTAAAATTTCTTTATTTAGGCACATGGTGTTTCTTCCCAAATTGTTTTTAGTTTTCTAAGTATGAAATGTAGCTTCATGTAAGATACTTTAAGGAAACGTTATTCCCTCTCTACTTGACTTCGTTTAGCTATCTTTTTTTGAATTCCTACAGTGTTAATGTGAGGGGCATGTACTGAAGGACAAAAAAAGGTCAATATTATACATGTTGAGGCTTTAAAAATATCTTGAGATAGTTTTAGAAAAAGAATACTAAATTCTTTTTCTCTACACTATATTCATGAAACGAAAGAAGAAATTCCCCTTATATTATCATTTACAAAGTACTAAGTCAAAGACGGAATGGAAGAATAAGGAAACGGTTATTACTGAATGGCTCCTAAACACTCATCGTCTGGCTGAGGCAGCTTATTCCCTGCTTTTCTCTGTGTTCCAGGCTACATGGAAGTGGTGCAGATCCCAAGAGGCTCTGTTCACATTGAAGTCAGAGAAGTGGCCATGTCGAAGAACTATATTGGTAAGTTATTTTTCTAGATTTTAAAAATTAATTGGGTGGAGGACCAGCAGATGGCATAATGGTTATGTCACCGGATTCCCACATAGTTAACTATGGTTCGAGTCCCAGACCTGGCAACTTAAAACTCACAATGGACGCGCGTGTGTGTGCATGCCCAAGATCCTGAGAGGAGAATGGAAGAGAAGGGACTGCAGCATGGCCATTGCCCCGGAGTGGGGGGGGTGATTTTTCACTTTCTTTCTCTCTCTGTCTGTCTGGTGAGTGTACGTGCCCTGTAGCAAAAATCTCTCTTTAAAAAAAATGAACGGAGTGGGTCAGTAGGTGGCATAGTGGTTAAGGCTCCCACGTGGCCCAGCATAGTTCTAGTCCTGGACCTGTTAACTTGCTTTCTCACTTTCCCTCTCTCTCTTGCTCCGGTGAATACACATGATCTATAGGAAATTTAAAGATAAAAATAATTTTTAAAAAATCTAAAATTAAATAAGTAATTTTTTTGAAAAAAATTAATGGGAAAAGCAGCATGGTATCATGTGGTAAAAGGCACTGCTTTGAGGTAGACTATTTTAGTGCTAAAATGAAGTTAAGTTCCAAGTTTTATAGAACGACATAAAAAAGGCTATACAGAAAAGATTAGTAGTTTATAGCTTATTCTTCCTTAGGTTGATTATTTGATTATTTTTAAAAGCGAGATATAATTTACATGTAATAAAATGCACCCATTGTTAAGCACACAGTTCAAAGACTATTGACAATTATATATGTCCACATAAATATCGTAACCGAGATATAGTACGTTTCTGTGATTCCAAAACCAGGTCTCATTCCCCTTTGCAGTCATATTTTTCAGTCCTGGCCTTAGTCTCAAGTAAACATTTATTTTTTGACATTATATATATTACTTTTACTTATCCTGGAACTTCACATAAATAAGCTCTTATAAATGCTTACATCTTTATTCATAATAGACAAATCAATCAATAAACAAATAAAAAGAAAGGAAGGATAGCTGAAGATAGGATAGCTGAAGTTGTTGAGGATAGCTGAAGTTTCTTTTCTTTTTTTAGTTAATTTTTGGGCCAAATAGTATTCTATTGTATAGATACCATAATTTGTTTATCCATAAATCTGTTGATGGACTTTTGGTTAATTTCTAGTCTTTGTCTATTATGGGTAAAGCTTCTTTAGACTTCCATAAATGAGTTATATGTGGACATTTATTTTTATTTCTCCTACGTAAATGCCCAGGAATGAAATAACTAAACATGATAAATCCATGTTTAACTTTGTAAAAATTACTAAAGTCATAACTATTACAAAAAAAAAAAGTATGGAAGTTCCTCAACAAATTTAAAATAGAATTACCATATTATGAAGGAATTTGACTTCTAAGTTCATGTCAACTGGAATTGAAATCAATATGTCAAGGAGATTGTCTGCATTATGTTCATTTCAGCATTGTTCACAATAACCAAGAAATAGAAGCAACCTATGAATGGATAAAGAAAATGGGGGTGGGGCAAGCAGGTGGTATGGTGGTCAAGGCTTGGATTCTCACATGGCTGACTGTGTTGGAGTCCCAGACATGGAGGTTGAAAATCATGCTAGGCGCATATACATGCATGCCTGAAATTTCAGGAGGAGAATGGAAGAGGATTGTGGTGTGACAATTCTCCCAGGGTATGATTTCTTACTTTCTCTCTCAGTGTCTCTCTCTGTCCCTCTTCAATAAGTGTACACAATCCATGACAAAAAAAAATAAAAATAAAAATAAAGAAGGAAAATGAGATCTATATCCATAAGATAATATGATATAGCCTTTAAAAAGAAGGATTTCTGTCATTTTTTAAAATGGATGGAACTAGAAGATACTATGCTAAGTGAAATAAGCCAGGCACAGAAAGACCATTACTATATGATCTCTCTCATATATGGAATCTGAAAAAAAGGAGATGTCATAGAAACAGAGAGTAGATAGCTGGTTACCAGAAGCCGGTGGGGAAGGAGAAGAATGGGGTTCCAGGACCAGCAGTTAGCATAATGGTTATGTCGCTGAACTCCCATCTAGCCAACCACGGTTCAAGTCCTGAACCTGGTGGCTTGAACTCACACCAGTGCATGTGCATGTGTGCCCAAGATCCCAAGAGGAGAATGGAGGAGAAGGGATTGCAGCATGGCCATCCCCCCTGGGGGGTGATTTCTTGCTTTCTGTCTCTCTGACTCTGTCTTTCTGGCAAGCGCATGTGCCGCAAAGCGCATGTCCCCAAAAGAAAAACCCTCCAAAAAAAAAAAAAAAAAAAAAAAGAAAGAAAAGAAAAGAAAAAAATAAAGAATGGGGTTCAGGTAGTTGTTGCTTTAAGGGTAAAAGTTTCAGCTAGACCAGAAAAATAAATTCTACTGATCTATTTATTACACTGCATGACAACCACAGTTTAATAGTAATATATATTTCAAAATTGCTAGAAGAATAGATTTTGGGGCCAGCCAGGTTGCTTGGTGATTATGCTGGCTGGATCCCATAAGACTGACTACACGGTTTGAGTCCTGGACTGTTGGCTTGAGAAACATGCCAGGTGCATTAGTAAGTGTGCCTAAAATCCTGGGGGGCGTTGGATAAGAGGAGATTGTGGAGTGGTCATCCTCCTGGAGGGGTGTTTTCTCTGTCTTTGTCTCTGTCGCTGTCTTTCTCTCCCCCTCTCCTTCCCTCCCTGGCAAACTCACATGCCCTATAGCAAATAAAGAAAAACAAAAGAATAGATTTTTAATATTCTCACCACAAAAAAGATAGTTAGGTAATATATATATTATGTTTAGCTTGACAGAATCTTTCTACAGTGTATTATAGATCTAAACACCACATAATAAATACCTATAAAGATGCACAATTGCCATTTGTCATTTTTTAAAATAGCTAGAAAACTGATTACTATTAGGAAATGGGATAATTAACCAGAATGTTGCAAAAGGGGGATTTCTGGGGAATGGTGATTTTTCTGTTTTGAATCTGGGTGCTAGATATATGGTTGTATTTGAGTGGATTTAGCTTATAAAAATTCTTCAAACTGTATACTTGTGATGTGCATTATGAAATATAGTATATTTAGGTATACTATGTATATGTATTATATTAGATTTAAATTAAGAGTTAAAAAAATGTGCCCAGGCTTCACCTCAGACCAAATGATTCTGAATCTGTGGTTGTGATTGAATACTGGACATCAGTATTTTTTAAAAGCTTTTTCAGTGACTCTAATGTAGAAGAGGTGGTGAAAACCACTCCTATAATTAAACACTAATTTATTTACATTCACTTATTTACCTACTCAGTCCACAAACTTTATAGTACACCTTCAAATATTACACAATATTTATGTGTAATGTAAGAACCTTATAATAGTTTATTTCCATTGTCTTCTTTGTGCTATTTTTAATGTATTCTACTTGCTCATGTGTTATAAACTCTCCAACATTGTTATTTTTGTTGTAGAATTGATCATCTGTTGTTGTTGTTGTTTTAAGTTTTGCAGAGGATGTTTGTGCTTGAGAGAGAGAGAGAGAGAGAGAAGAAAAGTGAGAAAGCACCCTCTGGGGCCAGCAGGTGGTGTGGACTCCCACATGACTGACTGCAGTTAAAGTCCTGGACCTGGTGGCTCTCTTTCTCAGTTTCTTTCTCTCTTTCTCTCTGGTGAGTGTGCATGCCCTGTAGCAAATTAAAAAATAGTAATAATAATAATAAATAAAATTAAATAAATGATTGTTTAAAAAATAAAAAGAAAAAACACACTCCATGCAGGATGGTTACGCTGTAATTCCCTCTCCTTCATTTCTCCCTCCTGTCAGGATTTTGGACACAGTCTACCCTGTGGGATCTGACTACCTAAACACCATATCATAGGCCGGTCCAAGTCAATTAATTATCTTTTTAAAAAACTAAGGGGCTAGCAGTTGGTGTGGCAGTTAAGGCTCTGGACTCCCACATGGTTGAACACAATTCAAGTCCAAGACCTGGTGGCTTGCTTTCTCACTTTCCCTTTCTCTTTCTCTCTGGTAAAACATTTTTTTAAAAAATAACAACAAATAAAATTAAATAGAATAAGAATTTTTTTAAAACTAAGGAAAAAAATTATATTTATCATTATCTGCCAAACTTTCTTTTACATAGATCTGAGCTTCCATTTATACATATGTATGTGTACATATGAGTAATGTCTCTTAGTTTTTTTCTCATTGTATTTATGTTTTTCATTACAATTTTTGAATGTATTTATAATAGCTGTTTGAAAGTTATTTTCTGCTAACTCCATAAATTTTGTCGTTTCTGGGTCTACTTTTCGTTTTTTTGGGTTTTTTTGCTTGGCCTTACTGGTTTGAGTTACTTTTTCCTGCTTTTTTACATTTGTAGTAATTTTCACTCAATGTTGTACATTTTGAATATTTCTTTGGTGAGAATCTTAATTTGGCATTCTTTCTCTAAAGAGTACTAGATACCTTGTAGATCAACCTAATCCTTTTGCTGCTTGCTTTTGAGCTTTGTTTTCTTTCTTTTTTTTTTTTCTCTTGAGAGGTTTTTTCGCTATAGGGCGTGTGCGCTTGCCAGACAGAGACAGACAGAGAGACAGAAAGCGAGAAATCACCCCCCGGGGGGATGGTCACGCCGCAATCCCTTCTCCTCCATTCTCCTCTCAGGATCTGGGGCACACACGCACACGTGCCTGGCGTGAATTTTAAGCCACCAGGTCCGGGACGCGAACCGCTGTCGACTATGTGGGAGTCCAGTGACATAGCCATTACGCTAACTGCTGGTTCCCACTTTTGAGCTTTTTTGGGTGAGTCTAGAATAGCCCTTATTGTAGAGCTTGCTTAGCCCTTCTACCATGGCATGATTCTTTCTAAGTACCTACCAAAAGCCCTGGTGGTTAAATGCAGTGGTTCTGTGTGCAGCAGGGTTTTCCGCCTACACACATACAGATTAATATTCAGCAATGGATTGCCTCTCTCCACTCGGGTTCTCTCATTCTGCAAATGTCAACTGTTTTAGTCTTCTCAGTTTCTGATCTGCCTTTTCAACCTAGTAAGACCAACAGGCTCTGGTTGGTCTCTCCCTGACAGAACATACCCCAGGCAGAGAATGGGGGAGATCACCATTTCTGTGCAATCCTGAGCCAGTGACCAAGAACAGCTGATTCATGTACTTTGTGAGTTTTCTGGCTGTTTACTGAGGGCAATTTCGAACCAGTTATTGCAACATAGGAGTAAGTGGAATTTCTATTTATTTGCTATCTGATCTTTTGAGACAGCTTTAGTTTCTCTAGAAACCTCTAGTGAGATATAAATGAGTTATTTTTCCCTTTGAAATATGATTTTCTTCCCTTTAAAGCCTCAATAAGACTACATCCAGAGTATGTCTTCTCAGAGCACACCAGGGTTATCAGGCTATTTCTTTATTTACGCCATAATTTCGGACTCATTTCCTGCATCAGGATGACAAGACAAGACAAAATTAAGATTCTTGGAATTATCTTTTTCCTTATGATAACTGTCTGTTCATTGTCTTCTTTTGGTCGATTATTTTTAAAGAATTATTTAATTAATTATTATTAATTTTTAATTTGACTATAGAGAGAGAAAAGGAAAGTGAGAAAGCAAGCCGCCAGGTCTGAAACCACACACTCAGTTATATGGGAGTCCAGTGCCTCAACCACCACGCCACCAGCTGGCCCCACTGGTCACACGGATATTAAAACTATTTTTATGTGCGCTTTTTTCTTCTAGAAGTTTAAAGAAGTATGCATGTATATCAATCTTTTTCTCTGTAGGTTCTGAATTTCTTTTCATGCTTAGAAAAGTTTTTTATACTCTAAAATATGTATTTTAAAAAATTTGTCAGAGGGCACAAGTGCTCATGAGAGAGATACAGAGAAACAGAGAATGTACTTCCCGGTGGAGCATGGTCATGCCATATTCCTTTCTCTTTTATTTCTCCATATTCTTAGGATTTGGGGCATGCATGTGTATGCACTTGGTGTGTTTTTCTGTTGTTTTTTTTTTCTGGACAGATTTTTTTTTTTTTTTTTTTTTTTTTGCTATAGAGTACATGCCCTTGCTGGAGAGACAGAAAGCAAGAAATTACCCCCCCCAGGGGGGATGCCATACCAGAATCCCTTCCCCTCTATTCTCCCCTTGGAATCTTGAGTGCACATATGCACACGTGCCCGGCATGAGTTTTAAGCTGCCGGGTCTGGGACTTGAACCATGGTCGACTACATTGGAGTCCAGTGACCTGGTATGTTATTTAAACAACTGGGCTTGAGCCTGACACTGCAGGGTGAGCCATGTGGAATCCAAGTCCCTTTACTAGGCCCTGGAGCCAGGCCTCTATACCCCAATATTACAAGAAAAATCTTTTCGTATATTTTCTCCTGGCATTTTATGATTTACCTCTGCTTGCATTTAAATACTTACCCATCTGGCATTTATTTTCCCTTTCTCTTTCTCTGGGGTGGGAGGTTGCTATAGGGCATATGAGCTTGCCAGAGAGACAGAAAGTGAGAAATCACCCCGGGGGGGATGGCCATGCTGCCACTCTGCATTCCCTTCTTCATTCTCCTCTTGGGATTTTGGGCACACACACCCATGTGCCCAGTTTGAGTTTGAAGGTGCTGGGTCTGGGACTCAAACCATGGTCAACCATGTGGGACCCAGCCACCCTAACCACCATGCCAACAGTTGATCTTCTTTCTCTCTCTCTTTTTTTTTTTAACTTTGTTTTTATTGAGATGAAATTTACACATCACTCAAAAATGAAACCCCATATCTATACAGTAGTTTACTCCCATTCTCTCCATTCCCCAGTCCCTGGCAACCGCTAATCTGCTTTCTGTTTCTATGAATGTTTTCCTAATCTAGATATTCCAGACACATTGAAGCATACAATAATGTGACATTTTCTGTTGGGCTTCTTGGGTGGTTTCTGTCTTTTGACTATTAGGAGTAGTGCTACTATGAACATGTACATACATTTAGTTATTTAAGTACTTGTTTTTAATACTTTTGGGCCTATATCTAGAAGTGGAATTGTGACATTAATTCTCATTTTTAAAGAATTACTTATTTAATTTTACTTATTTATTCATTCATTTATTTTCATTTTATCAGAGGGACAGAGAAAGAGAGAAAGGGAAAGTGAGAAAGCAAGCCTCCAGCTCCAGGACTGAAACTGTGGTAGGCCATGTGGGAGTGAGTGTCCAACACCTTAACCACCATGCCGCCTGCTGGCCCCTGACATTTATTCTTACATGAAGAATGAGATAAGGGTTGGTTCTGTGGTACAGCTGTAATGCACTGCTCAAAAGAAGCCAGAGCCACACATGATGACTACAGTTTGAATCAGTTGAATCTGTGGCCTGGTCAGCTTGAAGCATGTAGGGCACCCACGTGCGGGCTCAAGATCCGAAGGACTGGAGGACTGGAGGAAGGGGATTGTGGTATGACCATGTCTTGTGGAGGGTCCTCATCTCTCTCTGTCTCTCTTCTCCATTCACATGTACACACTCTCTATCATGAATGAAGAAAATCAATTTAAAAAAAAAATGAGATATGGGACTAGCCCTGGCCTCAGCTTAGTGGTTAAGCGAGCAAGATCTCACATGTCTGACCATGGTTCAAGTCCCAGCCACAGTGTCTTGAAAAAATATTCTGGGCATGTGTATGTACATGCCCCAAATCCCAACAGGTTGGAAAAATGAAAGAGAAGGGAATGCAGCATGACCACACTCCATTGAGGGGATGTTCTCTCTCTCTGACTCTCTCTCTCTCTGCTCTCTGCTGAGTGCACATGCTCTCTAAAAAATAAAATAAAATAAAATAAAAAAAGAATTAGACACATATAAATTCAGTAATTAAAAAATTTCATCTTAGCCCCATTTCTTGTTGTCTTTCAGTTATTAATTTGAGGTATTTCCTTTGTCAGATATCAAATTCACATGTGTACTTGAGTTTATTTCTCTCTATATATTGGGTCTTTGGAAAAGTCATGATGCATTTTTGCATAGAAAAACATAGAAAAATACATCATGACTTTTGCAATGACCCAATATGTGTACAGCTTATTTCTTCCATGAACAAGAGAGATATCAAGATTCAGCATCCTTAACAGGGTCTTGACACCATGATCTATCCCCAGCCTCAGGCAGCCCCAGATCATGAACATGTGTGCAGTCTTCTCAAGGAGGTCTCCAGATACACACTTGAAACCTTCTCATGTGGCTCAGCCTCACAGAGCATTGTTTAGTGACTATACCACAGATCAGCTCCATTCTTGAGTCTGTTTTAACTCTGGTTCCATTGTTCTTTCAGTCTGTGTGGTAGTACCATGGGTTCTCCCATCCCATAATCATGTAATTGCTTTTTTAATATTTGGAAAGGAAAGTCTGCTCTCTATTCCTACTCCTGTTCCCAGTTACTATACTATTCTTTTTGTCATAATTTTCCTTGCTAATTCTGTGTTTATTCCTCTAGTTAAACTTTTTATTCCTTTCTATAAATGACATTATAAATACTTAAGTAATATCTTGGTAATATTCATGTGAAAAATTACCATTTTCCTTTGTGCTTAAGAAAATAATAAGGAATCATATCTCTAAATGGAAATGGGTAGTCATTGTACACTTTAGTAATTAATCAGTGACAGTTTGGTACATGAAATTTCACATTTCTGGGGGGATTGTGATTTTTTTCCCTAGCTTTAAAATCTGAAGGGGATGATTACTATATTAATGGTGCCTGGACTATTGACTGGCCTAGGAAGTTTGATGTTGCTGGGACAGCTTTTCACTACAAGAGACCAACAGATGAACCAGAATCTCTGGAAGCTCTAGGTCCCACCTCGGAAAATCTTATTGTCATGGTAAATGTATCTTTGCCATTTTATTTCTACTGTTTGTAATTCCCTTTTGTGATATAATAAGGGACATGTTTTATTTTCTGTTTTGCCAGTGATAAAATTAAGATAAATAAAGGTAAAATGATTTGCCTAAAGGTGTAAAATCTGTGCAGATTTAAGGCCGAGGTAGTCTTTCTTCATGACTATTTGATTTCTCAATGTTTGTTTGAATAATATTTTTATAACCGAACAAGACAAAGGAGAGAAATGGCATCAAGGTACCTGTGAAAATGGAAGAAAATTCAGTATAAATGCATCTATTGTTTTGTATTCGATAATTATTTTATTTTATTTATTATTATTACTTTTTAATTTGACCAGAGAGAGAGAGAGAGAAAGAAAGGGAAAGTGAGAAAGCAAGCTGCCAGATCCAGGATTCAAACCATGGTCAGCCATGTGGGAGTCCAGTGCCTTAGCCACCACACCATCTGCCAGCCCCTACATGCATGTGTTTTATAAAAGTTATCTTTAATTTCCTTTAAGATTTACTTCATAACATTTTCTTCTTCAAAAGAAATAAGAAGTATCTGAATGAAGGCTCATTGTATTTTAATTGTCTTCACCAGTTGTTTTCAATGGCAGGTTCTGCTTCAGGAACAGAATTTGGGAATTAGATATAAATTCAACGTTCCCATCGCTCGAACTGGCAGTGGAGATAATGAGGTTGGCTTTACTTGGAATCATCAGCCTTGGTCAGAATGTTCAGCTACTTGTGCTGGAGGTAAGACACTTACTAGGCAGCCCACCCAGAGGGCAGAATGGAGAGCAAAACATACTCTGAGCTGTGCTTTGTTGTTTGCTAAAGGAGCTAATTGGAAACATTTCTTGCAGGTTTGCTTCAAGCTGTAATTTAGCAAAAGAAACTTTGCTTTAATTATATTATATTCCGTTTGTTTTCAACCTCATATAATTTGTACAGATTTGTTGGTAAAATACATCTTGGCACGATGAGTGTCTGTCTGCTGGTGCTTCTCCCAAGACTATCTTGAAGGTGGGCTGTTTGCTTTCCGTGAACACATTCTTATAAAGAACATCGAGAGTTTTAAATAAGAAAATGAGCAAGAATCAGACGTCACAGATGCAACTTCTTGTAATGGGGAATGAGAATGTATATCTGTGTGACTGTGTGTTTGTATTTGTGTGCTTGTATGTTTCCCACAATCCTACTCAAACTCCCTTCTCAAGCCATCAAAGTTAAGGGGCTACAAACCGGGATGCTACCATAATTACTGGTGTCTGGGTCTCTGGGTAAATGGTGTATGCAGATCCCATTATAGTCCCACAGAGAGGTAGCGTCTAGGCGGTGGTTGGTGATGTGTTGGTTGTCCCATGTGCGTTTTTCATGGGTGCCTTTTCCCCACAATTTACTCTATTCCTAATCCTCCTCCCTCTAGTGGCCACCAATGCAATTCTTTACCTCTGGCTGGGAGAGCAGGACAGTTGGCTTCCTTCAAAGCCAACACCCTTGCTGCTGCATGGACTGGTGAGTAGAAGTGCTGTGCGAGCAGCATCTTCCTTCTCTCTGGAGACTGAATGCATCGCCTCCACCGTACCCTTGACCCCGACAGGCAAGGACACAATCTGTCCCTCAGTCTGGGCTAGACAGAGCATCTCACCTTTCCAAAAGAAAAGATTTAATTTTGAATAGGGATAGTTAGAATGGACAAAATTGAAATAAAGTAAACCGGGGCTGGCAGGTGGCATGGTGGTTATGGCGCTGGACTTCTTCCCACATGGCCGGCCGGGGTTTGAGTCCTGGACCTGGTGGCTTGCTTTCTCACTTTCCCTCTCTCTCTTTATGTCTTTCTCTAGTCAGATTTAAAAAATAATGATGATGCTGATGAATAAAATAAAATAAAATAATTATTTTTCAAAAGGAAAAAGAAATAAAGTAAACCATTCAATTTATTAGTTATTCCCCATTCTAAACATCTTGGAAACATGTGATTTCCTATGGGCTTCATCCTATCTTGTCCTTTGTTCATTGACTCTCTAAATACCCTTGATTTTCAAGGCTTGAATCAGAGAAATTATTTTCAGGAATGATTATTTGATAGATTCATTTTTTAGATTCATCAGAATTAAGTCATTAACTACAACTCTGATATCAACAATAAAGGATATAAAACAAAAAAATCAAGTGAATAATTATGTTCTTTTCTATGTGAATTCATAAAACATGATTATGTATAATTTATGGTGTACTTTTATTCAGTTTTGCCAAAGGGTTTGTGCATTCACCAGAGAGAGACACGGGGGGGTGGCTGACGAAGTGGGAAAGCACCTTCCATCAGGAATGGTCACTCTGCAATCCCTTTTCTTCTCTCTCTTTCTCCTTTAGAGATTTTGGGCATATGTATCTTAAGCCTATATACACACCTGGCGTGTTTTTCAAGCCACTGGTAGGTCGACCATGTGGGATCTGGCTGCCTTAACCACCAGGCCACTGGCTGGCCTATGGCATATTTTAAAAATCTAGTTCATATCCGTTTTCTGTATGAAATGTCTGGTGACTTATAGTGTAAAGTTTTAAAAATGAGAGTGCATTACTATTTCTTTTCATAAATAAGAGATTACTTCAACTAGATCTAGAAAATGCCATTTTATTATATTCTAGTGGCATTTATCATACATTCTTCTTTGTTCCAATTAAGTTATTTTTATTCAATCTGTAAATTAACTTTCCCCTTTTCACATACCAACAAAAAGTCTCCATTTAAACAATTTGTGAAATTCAGGCTCTGAGGTAAGGTGGGATACATTTAATAAAAAAGAGTCAAAGTAAAGATTAGTCTAATAAGAAAAACCTAAAATCAATGTCAATTATCTTGGAGAAGAGAAGGCTAAGGAGGAGCATACTAGTATCAAGTATGTGACAGAATGTTGAATGGGAAAGTCTTAGTGCCTGTTCTTTGTACTGAAATTGCTATATTTGGGGATGGTTTAGACACAGTCTTATCTGAGGCCAAGGAGGGATTAAGTGAATTCTCAATGTTCCTTCAACCTTATGATTCTATTTGTTCAGGAGATAGTTCAACAAGAAAAAGAAAAAGAAATAAAAGGGGGGGCATGAGAATTGAATTTGGAAGAAAAGCTAAGATCTTATTAAAGAAAGAGAGATCTGGGAAATCTAGATGAGTGTTGCTTTTTTCCGTGACACTTGTATTGAGAAACAGAGGTGATTGCCTGTGCTAGGGTATAAAACAGAAGAAAAACAGGGAGGGAGAAAGAGCCCTGGAAGAAGAAGTTTCTCTTCTCTGTTATTTATACTTCTTGCTTTAATTCTGGAGCTCCCGCTCTTTAAGATATTTGAGATGGTTCTGGAGACCCAAATTCTGCTTGGTTGTGAGTGATTATGAGCATCCACGAGGCCATTGCTTTCTTTAGAGTAGGGATGTACAGTGCTTGAACACGGGCAGGCATGATTTGAAGGACTGCCACCTGTCTTGGTAAGTGGTCCTCAAAGTATGGTCCCTGGACCAACAACATCGACATCCTTGGGAACTTGTTAATAATGCTAACTTGGGGGTCCATTTCAGACCTACAGTATAGAAATCCTGGAGTGGGGCCTAATAATCTGTGTTAAAAGCTCTCTGGGTGATTCTGATGCTGGCTCATTTGTGTACCACTATCCTGGCTGACAGAAGAACTGAAACCTAGCATTCTAGATAGTCTTCATCTTCCCCATTGAAGTCTGTGCATCTTTGAGGACTCATCTTGTACCTAGAACATTATCTGGGACACACTAGGTGCTTTGTAACTGTAGATGAGTGAATGAGCAACTGGCAATTGTATATTTGTGCTTTTTTTTTTTTTCTTTGCATGAGAAATGAGAGTTAATTGTTCATTTTCTCATGGGGTGGGGCAAAAAGATTACTGAGAAGAGAGTATAATTTTAACTAGCATGGGTAAGTGAAACCAAGTTCCCCTCTGTTTTCTTTACTTTGAATAGGTAGAAAATATTTTCTAGGATCAAGAGTGCAGCTATAAATTACTGTAGCTGCTCATTCTACCCATAGCCCTGCTCCTAACCCCAGGTTTTTTAAATACGAAGTTTAGGACTGAGAGAAGTAAAAGCTGTTAGGTCTGAGGAACCTTGAGCAAAGCGAGAGCCAGAGTCATCTGCTTGGTAATACTAAATGAAATTTCCTCTACTGATGAAACCTTTTAGGAAAAAGTCATTTCTACCTATTGGGTCATCAGGAAAGTCATGATGTATTTTTGCATAGAAACATAGAAAAGTACTTCATGACTTTCTCGACAACCTAATAGTTTTCGCTCAGACACTGAGGAAGAATACTAGTCAGTTCTTAACCAGGCTATTTCACTTTTATCTTTCCTGAAGGTGCTCAGTGTCTTAAGCTGTTAAAATATTCTTAAATGAGAAAGAGAAAACGAGGATCTGAAGAAATATTCAGTTGTAATCTCGCAAGATTCCTGTCTTCCTAGTGTTACTATCCTGCATATGCTTTATTAATGTCAAAACCTTTGGACTTTGAGTTTGGAAATTTATGATGATAGCTTTCTTCATGAGATCTTTTAAGATAAGAAATTTTGAGGCTGTTTTTCTGTTGGTTAGCATACCCAGTGACAAATCTAGTGCATGTGCGTGTGTGCCCAAGATCCAGAGAGGAGAATGGAGGAGAAGGGATTGCAGTGTGGCCATCCTCTGGGAGGTGGGGGGGTGTGATTTCTCGTTTTCTGTCTCTCTGTCTCTCCAGGAAGCACTTGAATACTATAGCAAAAATTCCTTTTAAAAAAATGGTATTAAGGGACCAGCAGTTAGCATAATGGCTATGTTGCTGGACTCCCACGTAGTCCACCACAGTTCAAGTCTCAGACCCGGTGGCATAAACTCACGCCAGATGCATGTTCGTGCGTGCCCAAGATCCCGAGAGGAGAATGGAGGAGAAAGGATTGTGGCATGGCCATCCCCCCTGGGGGGTGATTTCTCGCTTTCTGTCTCTCTGTCTCTCTCTGTCTTTCTGGCGAGTTCACGTGCCCTATTAAAAAAAAAAAAAAAAGCAAAAAACAAACAAAAAAGGTATTAAGATACAAAACTTTAGTTTTAGTTTTTTTTTTTTTTTAGTAGTAATTCATGATAGTGTATTTTTGCACTATAACTTTTTTTAAAAACCATTTTTGCCTTATGGCGTGTGTGCTCATTGGAGAAAGAGACAGTGAGAGAGGAAGTGAGAAATCACCCCCTAGGGGCAATGGCCATGCCACAATCCACTCTCCTCCCAGAGCCTTGGGCATGCATGTACACACATGTACATGTGCACCCAGCATGAGTTTCAAGCCAGCAGGTCTGGCACTCCAACAACGATCAGCAAGGTGGGAGTCCAGCAGCGTAACCGCCATGCCATCTGCTTGTCCCTGCACTGTAGTTTAAAGGTTCAAATAACAAATATTGAGTATTCATCTTTTATTTAGTCATATAGACTCCTTTTGCTGATGTTTGTCTAGACAAATGATACTCAAAAAAGAATTTGTTTAGAGATATTTTTACTATAGAGCGTGTACATTCACCAGAGAGATAGAGACAGAAAGACAGAAAGCGATAAATCACCCCTAGGGGGGATGGCCACGCCAAAATCCCTTCTCCTCCATTCTCCTCGGGATCTTGGGTACACATACACACACGCCCAGTGTGAGTTTAAGCCACCAGGTCCAGGACTCGAACCACTTTCGACCATGTGGGAGTCCAGCAACGTAATCATTATACCATCTGTTGGTCCCATGATTCTCAAATTTTAGCATGCATCAGGATTACCTGGGGTATTCTTAAAACAGATTGTGGCTTTCTGTGTAGATAGCGTGTCCACCATAGTGAACATCCCTGAAACCCGCAGACTTTCTATAAGAAATGTGACAAGTACCAGCCTCACAAAGTGACACAGTACAAAAAGGGCAAGGATTCTCTGTATGCTCAGGGACAGCGGCATTACAACAGGAAGCAGAGTGGCTATGATGGACAGGTTAGACACATTTTCTGGAAAAAGAGTGGGCTGAGGCTTATCTGTGTCTATGTTGAGCCCAACTGCAGGTCTAAGAGAATGCTGGCTATTAAGAGACTCAAGCATTTTGGGACCAGCAGTTAGCGTAATGGCTATGTCAATGAACTCCCATGTAGTCGACTGTGGTTCGAGTCTCGGACCTGGTGGCTTAAACTCATGTCGGGTGCGTGTGCATGTGTGCGCGAGATCCCAAGAAGAATGGAGGAGAAGGGATTGTGGTGTGGCCATCCCCCCTGGTGTGGGTGGTGATTTTCCACTTTCTGTCTCTCTGTCTTTCTGGCGAGTGCATGCTCCCTGTAGCAAAAACCTCTCAAAAAAAAAAAAAAAAAAAAAAGACTTAAGCATTTTGAACTGGGAGGAAATAAGAATCAAGTGATCCAGTTCTAAATATCATTACTTTATTATGAAAACAGTAAAATCTTGTTTTCATTGAGGTGAATGTTCACGTCATTTGATTACA